GGAGTCGATGTTGCTGACATGTCCTTGGTCGAGGGGTGGCAGAGGAAACCTTAGAATCCAAGCTTCGAGAGCAGCCCCAAGTGCTCAAAAACCAGCAGTCACCATGACTTCAGAAGATTGGCGGGGCGATTTGGCGGAAAGTCCATTGAAGAAGTCTCGGTTCTCACGAACAGCACTTGGAATGACACATGTGTGAGTTTGAACGTAGGTTGTTTTCCTTCCGTTGCTCATGCCACACGCCATACCAATGTTCGGGCTTCTCTTCTTCACAACTCCTTGACTTGTCCGATTCAAGCTTCCGATGAGAAGCTAGAAGCTCATGTGCCTTTTTCTGCGCCTGACTCCACAGCAATCTTTTGCAGGAGAGAATTCTCACACAAGGCGAGCACAGCCAGAAGGCCAATGAGCAAGAATGCCAGTACTCCTGCAGGACTGCCGGGCTTGGGAAAAGCCGGGACGAGACGCTTCTCCTCTCAACCCATGCTGTGCTGTGAATCTGTGGAGCCCTGCTCATGTGTAATTTCCTTGGCACCGACAGCTTCCGCATGCGCGCGAAAGATTAGTAACCTTGAAGAAACTTGTAGGGGAGAGGAAGATTTGCAAAACACTTCTGGGGACATGTTGTGATGGCTGTGCGTAACCAAAGTGATCGCCAGTGACATGAGCAGGCGTGAGCCGAGATGCTCGGCCTACCGCTATTCTTCCAAAGCGCCCAGGTAGCAGACTGAAGAGTCCTCCTGTGTTCTGGAGATTTCTGGAGCACGGTGTGGAGTGCATGGGTCTATAGGCTCAGTGTTCGGGGGGATTATGATCCTTTTGCTTGCCGTTTTTCTTTTAAGCCCCGGCGGTGGCTAAGGATTTATCTGGCAGATGTCCTTAACTGCTTCTAGGTCCAGTTCACCTGAAGCCATGACACATGCTCTTGAACCGCAGCTCCAAACGAGTTCAGAGGGAATTGTCATCAGCCACTCATGTGGTCTTGGGGCTGATGAGTAATCATTTCGACAGGAGCGGTCTTGTTTGTTGCGCAACCTCGAGAGCTGCCCAGGCGTGCTATTTCTCTCCGCTCGGCGGCACCGATGCACAACATCGCGATGTGTGGACCAAAATTCCGGATGCTTGGGACAAATGAAGTGAGTCCACGCTTGCGAGAGGTTTACGAATTGGGCGGGGGGGTTGAGTGCGAAGCAACACGAGCGCATTGCAAATGTTGCGGGTGCTCAGATGCGCACCTGGCATAATTCCAGCGGATCCTCGAACGTACAGCTTTCCAAGCATCACCGTTCCAAGACAGAAATGCTTGCTTTTGCTCGCAAATGTGCTGTTTGCAAGATGCAGCGAACAACCTTGCAGCCACGTTAGCTATGGATTCTTGAGGGAGTCCTTAAGCAATTTGTGGATTGGGAATGTGCCCGAGCATGTCCTTGATGGTCACACACGGCTTGCTACATGAACCACGTGTCTAGGACCGAAATGTTCATGTTTGTCCAGACAAAGAAGCTTTTGCATCCCTTCTAGCTATTGATCGTGTGGGACGAACCGTCCGATAAATGCGAGATGTGGAAGCGTGGAAAAGCTCAGGCGACCGTGTGATGTCAGCAGGATACTTTTTCCGAAGTGGCAGCTTCTGTGGTTTCTCCCCATGTCGCAGACTAGCTCTGCCAAGTGGCGTCGGGTGTTGAGGTGGTCGTGGTGTAGGAGTAGGACCTGGGCAGGTCGTTGTCGTCATTGTCGTGGACTTCGTGAGCCGAAAAAACAACGACGATTCTCACCGGTTTTGTGCTCGTCTTTCCCATTGGCTCTTGCACAAAAACAATGATTTTCGTCAGCTTTTGTATGAGAGAAGCAGAAATCTCCCACCAATCTAGTTGTCTCATATCAGTCTTGCCCCAGTGTTGTGACTAGGAGGACTGCTTCTGCACACGGTGCCTTAGCCTGAGGATTGCGACCCAAGCAGCACGTGCGTGAATGCGACTTGACGGCGGTTGGCCGTGCAGTCGGAGGATCCATATGTAACTTGGGTGTAGATGCCTGGGGTCCGATCTGCGGGCGTCACAACAGGCAGCAGAGCCATGGGTATACTTATACTGCGCCCGACAACCTTCACCGTACTCGTCGAGGGTGCAGACGCACTTCGGACGGTACCACATGTCATGGCACATAGCCCAGCTCGCAGGTGAACGCTCCGAAATGGCTGCATCGAGGCATCATTTAGTGTCAAGATGGCCCCCCCCTAAGATGCCAGGGAGCCCTGGCACACGAATCACGGCCTGCTTAGCATTTAGACGCAGTGGTCATCCAGATTGGCTGGGGATGCATCGTAAGTTTGATATCAAAGTTCGGGGTAGGATTTCGCGGGTGGAAAGGACTTCATTGTCAGCTGCCGAAGATCGGTGACACTCCAGCAAGATTAGCAATTGCAACGAGCGGCATGTCGGTTTGGCCGTGTAGGTTTCGGGCTGATAAGGCTAGATCATGGGCTGGTCCAGATGAATCGAGTCTCTGCAAAAAAAAGCCTCTCAGATTTCCCAGTTCAGTGCTGTCCCTTGCATAAAACCCACACTGCGCGATCTAGATCTCCGACACTGTGGGCTATCCTCTCCGGACTAGCTCTGCAAACCGAAAACGCGAGAATTGACCATAGAATGCCTCATGAGGCGAGCGAAACCCTTGTGACACCCTGGCCACCAACAGCCTAGCCCAACGGTCTCCTTCCTGGAGTCACTTTAGTCTCGCGGATTCCAAAAATCATTGAACAGAAGTATCCGGATCCTATATGCCAACTCCCCATCCGCAGCCATGATAGGAACCTACTGCCCAGTGGGTTACGACACAGATCGCAGCGGAATGGTTTACTTGAAGGCTCACAGAGTTTCTTGAGCATGGGCGTTGAAAGAAAGTTCCGGGTCACGGCTTAAGATTCGAAGCTTGGGGCGTAAGGACAATGCTGCTGCAGACGCTGGTTTGTTCCAGGGACGAGGTTGTTGTCGCCTCAGAGGTGCAGTTCAATTCCCGGCCCCAGAAACCTTCAAAGAGGGACCGACTGTTAAGGTTAAAACCGGGCCACTTCATCTTAAGACGCAGCTTTTGTGCGCAGAACTCCGCTGCAAAGATTGAAGTTCTAAGTCCTGCTAGGCTTCCCGTTGCCCTGAACCTTGATTTACTGGCGGTAGGTAACACCGTAATCATCCTTAAATCACCCTAAACCCTATAAACCCTATAAAACCCTATAAAACCCTATAAAACCCTATAAAACCCTATAAAACCCTATAAAACCCTATAAACCCTATAAACCCTATAAACCCTAAACCGTACGCAGACATCGCGACCTTACGTCGGCCTGTACTGGTACCGACCCCGGGCCCCCCTTAAAAACTCAGCCACTCTGGCTCCTTTGCAAACCCCCAATGGGTTTAAGGTGTAGGGGTTTAAGGGTTTAAGGGTTTAGGGGTTTAGGGTTTAGGGTTTAGGGGCTCGCAGGAGGGCCAAAGTGCTCGGGAGACGCTCTACTTGCGCAAGTACAAGGCTCCTGCAGGGGAAGGGCTTTTGGGTGGGGGGGTGTTTCGGGAAGTCCCCGCCTCTTGTGGTGAGCGGTGAGGGCAGAACTTGACTAGGGTCTTGGGATGTCTAGCCAACCAGGCTCCCCCCCCTCCCAGTATACTCAGTATATCCCCCTAAAGCCGAAGAAGGCGGCCCTGGGGGCAAGCATACCCTTCAGAGTCCCACTTGTGCGTAGGCTGTCCCCAACAGAGACCCTTCATTTGAAGCCGGGATGTGTCTAGCCCGCCGATCCATTTTCAACAACCCAACGCGACACCAAATGCGAAGCCCAAAACCCTAAACCCTAAACCCTAAACCCTAAACCCTAAGCCCTAAGCCCTAAGCCTTAACCCTAAGACCTAAACCCTAAAACCGAGCTGAGCCCGTGCGCCACAGGGCAGCGCGCGACTCATCGATCCACCGGAGCATATGCGTCAGTACAGCTCCACCCACGGCGGCTCGGCAGGGTTTAGGGTAGGGTTTAGGGTTTAGGGTTTAGGGTTTAGGGTTTAGGGTTTAGGGTTTAGGGTTTAGGGTTTAGGGTTTAGGGTTTAGGGTTTCGGGCATGGTTTCGTCCCAGGCAGGCAGTGCAGCAGTCCTAGCCGTAAAAAAGGTTTAGGGATGTAGAATCGGATTCCGCATGGCAAAATTCTTGGAATGAGAACTGGCCTGCCCAAGTTCAATTTGAGAGTCAAAGTGGACAATGCTTCGGGCTGAGTATTTCTCGGAGGGGGGAGCAACTTACTGCTTCTAAAGAAATGAAAAAGAAATTCTAACAGACTTTCGAGGGTTCAAGCTTGCAGAAGCAGTTTGACATTTCCAAGCCCTTTGCTACTTTGCTTGTGCGAATGAGGGAAGATGGATGGACAAGGCAGTCGTTGAACCTATTGAAACAGAACACAAGAGTCGCCTCTAGTTGGAGCAATTGATCAACACAGCCCGAGTTTCCCCAGCAGCACTGCGTACGGTGCCCCTGTGTGTTGTCTGGGGCATGGCATGACACGGCGTATACCAATCACAGTTCTTTAATAAGTGTATCAATAGTTCTACATTATCTTATAGATATATTCAGGTTTATATGATACATGATAATATTATCATGTGTATATATCTATAAGTATATATATATGTAGATGTATATATTATATAATGCACATATAATGTGTATACAAATAAAAACAAATAAATAGATGTGTCACAGCGCTCTCGTCAGTTTCCAGCATCAGACTGGACATTTGAGCCGGCGTCCATATGCTGTTCATATATGCACACACAGGGTTTAGGGTTTAGGGTTTAGGGTTTAGGGGCCTGTAAGCATGGGAACAGCAGATCGCCACAGCAACTGCCACGATATGCCACGATTAACGACGGAATCAACAAGTCAAGAGCGTCTAGCGACATGCGCAATCCGGCTTTTGCCTGCAACCACTTCGATGATGGCAATGATTCCTCCAGATGCCATGCGCCAGAAGCTTGATGCACTCGCGCGGCGCTTTAACCAGATGCTGGAAGGAGAGCAAGAGCTGGAGCTGGAGTGGGAGGCTATGGGGGATTCCGACGATTCGTCCATAGCCCTCGTGAGCGACCCAGATGAGGCGGTGGAGCAGATGACGTCCGGACACGCCTTGGGATTTCAACCGGGGCGAGCGTTCGACACACTGCCCGTGTACCAGGTTTGCTTCAACCTGCGCCGGCATCCGAAGACAGGCATCTTCCATTCATTGAAGCAGAAACTCACCATCGAGATGCGGCAAACTCCTGGAGCTGGGGAGTCGAATCAAGTCGTGGAGGTGTACGTTGAGATGGTTGGCGGAAACTTCCGCAGAGACGTTGTTACCGAGCAAGAATGTTGCCTTCGACTCCGCTTCTGGACTACCGACGAACGGCCAGTATTCCTGTCAAGCGTGTTCTGGCCCGGAGGAGGTTGCATGTTGGATAAGAACGGGATGCCGGTGACCATTGAGAATGGCGGCTATCTCTCTGATCCCCGGCGCGACACTACAATCCCTGATGTTGGTGCGGTCTATGATCGGGTGGAAGAAGTTGAGCTTCCCGATGAAGTTCAGCAAGCTTGGGATCAGGGCCAATTATATCCAGGAGACGTACATCAAGCATGGCAGGACGGCTGCAGCTCCTTCGAGTTGCCTGTCGGAAGCTCGCCACCTATGTTTCAACACAACAAATTCTCACTTGCGGATGACGAAGTCGATGAGCCACTGGGATGCATCGTGAGCATGGTTATCAGCAGGTGGAGGGGCATCAGAGTGGCAGGGATTCTACCCAACGTTGCGCGGCAGTTGATTCTCTCCTACCTGTTCTTCCCTCTGGAGCCACTTTCCTTTTCAGGGAGCCTGGCGGTTGCAGTGGGCGTGAACACGACCCCGGGCAGAATAAAATTGAGGGATCGCAAACAAGGGTGGGAAGGCGAGTGTGCGACTTGTGGCGGGCCCGCGGTTAGTTGGCTGGGTGGTGTGGAGTGTGAAAGCTGCTTCAGTGAGCATTGATCAGGCATTTTTCCAGACTCACGCAGCCAAAGGTCCGTGAGTCGTCTGCAAGCTTGAAAATGAGAATGCTGCTCCCCGTCCCCGTCGGTTGCGGTTCCTGGTGCCAGAGGTTTGAGATACGTTTGAGACAGGCTTGAGACAGTTTTGAGATAGGCTTGAGATGGGCTTGGGATAGGTTTAGTAGGGATTGTCAGTTTTGACTGGTTAAAATCATGTACTAGTACTAGTACAGTACTAGTACTAGTACTAGTACTAGTACTACTACTACTACTACTACTACTACTACTACTACTACTACTACTACTACTACTACTACTACTACTACTACTACTACTACTACTACTACTATGGACCAGTTTGAGTGGAGCTGGTGAGATCATGTCGTCATTGCACAGCGCATAAATCCCATGCCATATGCTTTAAGACAACTGGTAGTTGCCCATTGTTCATGGGCTGTTCTGTCAGGAGCTTTTGCCACAGTTTAGGGTTTAGGGTTTAGGGTTTAGGGTTTAGGGTTTAGGGCAAGCCCGCCGTGACCGTGACTCCCACAGGCCGCTGGAGGCCTGGACATGGCCGCACCCTGAGATTCACAAGGTTGGGTGTGGGGAGGGTTTAGGGGGAAGGGTTTAGGGTTTAGGGTTTAGGGTTTAGGGCTTAGGGCTTAGGGCTTAGGGCTTAGGGCTTAGGGCTTAGGGTTGCTGGTCTCTGATGACTAGCGCCTGGCGCGGCCCTCAGTCCTGGGATGAAGCAACTTCCAGGTTCAAAAGGGTTTAGGGTTTAGGGTTTAGGGTGTTCGATCACGAGAGTCCGGGGTTTTGCAATGCATCGCTGATCGAGAATCTTGCAGTCGGCGCTTCAGTGAGTAAGCAAACCCCAACTTCCAGCCCTTACGAAGCCTGGATACAGGTGTGGCACTCACATTCCACAGGGTGTCCTCGACATCTGATCCCCACAATCCTTTCTTCCACTTGGCATGGATAGGAGACTGATTACGTCTAGAAAGACTTGCAGCACTGTTCGGCTTTTTGGGCCTGGACCCCCCCCCCCCCCCCCCCCCCCCCCTCTACGCTCAATCATCAACTTTCACTCACGTTTTCAGACCCTCCTTCATTATAGCTTTTTTCACCAGAAGCTCACCTCGTGCCTTCTCCATTTCCACATCACCAGGTTTCTCGATGTTTCCGTCATGTTGTGTAAATACATTTGTTGCTCGAAAAAATGGTTGTTTCTCCACGAATTTATCATCCTGAACAATTGCACCGTTTAGGCTTATTCATTGCTTATAGCAGCCTGTCTCTGTTTTGTCATCTAGGTGAACCTCATCCGCTTTTCGATTGCTGAACTTTGTCGGAATTAACGTCCTAGCCGTTTTTTTTGTTCTGCAGTTTTATTGCTGAACATTAGCGGGTCTGCTTTCAGCAATGCATTGCGGGACATTATCGACTTTCCTTTTCCCAATGGGCCTGGTGGGGTTCATTCAATTATTTTGTTACAAGTAATCTTTCCGGTAACTCCTTCTTTTTCCTTCCTGAACCAATTGACATCGGGTCATTTACAGGGGCAAGGCTAGGTAGATGGAAAGACCCGCCAATAATTAGCAAAACGAATGCAGGACAAAAACACGTAGGACTTCAGTTCAGACAAGGTTCAGCAATGGAGAAGCGGTAGAGGTTCACATAGATGACAAAACAGAGACAAGCTGCTATAAGCAATGAACAAGCCTAAACTTTGCGATTTTTCAGGATGACAAGTGCGTCGAGATACATCAGTTGAGCGAACTCCAAAGCATGACTGAACAAGGCGAGCCAAGTTCTGGCCTACAAAACCCCTTTATAAACCCTGAGCACGCTTTTTGCAGCCCCCATGAAAAGCCTCTCTGAGGCTATGCCCGATCGAAGCTTTCGAGTCCGCATTGCTGGGCCGCAATGCACAAGAGAGCCTACGACCTGATCTTTGTTGAAAGCAGGGGGGGGCCTGCTTTCAAGTGGAGTACCGAAGAGCCGAGCTGCTTCGGGGTTTTTTTCTTAGATGATGAGTCACGAATTCAGTCTCTCCTAAGATACCATGTAAGTTTTTTTGGGTTTAAGGGTCTCACCTTGCAAGGGTCTGGGATATTTTGATCCCTACGCGACCCGCCTCGGCCCCTGCACAGTGGCGAAGCGTTGAGGTGCAGGGGGGATGCGGAGGTGCGGGGCTGCCGGGTGGGGGGTGGGCCACGCAGGAGGGTGGTTGCCTTGTGGCGAGCCAAAAAAAGGTTGCTGTTCCTGTTGCACGGTCGGCTGAAAATTATCCTATTCCAGCCAAAAATGAGTGGGGTGTATGCTTGGAAGCTCTTTGGCCTCGAGTTGTTCGTTTTCAGGTTCGGGGTTTGCAAGGCAATACGTTCATTCGGGGTACAAGCTTGCCGCTAGCCAGGGAAGGCTTTCACCTTGGCCCTGACATGAAAATCAGAGTAATCACCTCTTCCCAAGCATGCCCTCAGCAGCCCTTTTGAGGGTCCCTGACCCCTTATACCAATCCTCTTGTCGTAGCTAGAGTGTTCAGGTGGCGTTCGTTTGTGTGACCACGTTTTGGGCCCCCCGCGCTGCCAGCAGAGCTAAGGGAAGATGGAGTTTATGGATATCGACCTCGGGAAGGTCATGCTCGTGGCAGGTGCAGGGTTTCAGAGGACGTCTGCAACTTCGTAGACTCTTCTGCCACTCCGGACTTCGGACAAAGCGGCGACCTCTAACAACAAAGCGAGAGAAATCCCCCACGGGTATTGAGAGGCTTCGATGCTGCTCATGACAGAATCAATACCATCATTGCTGTTGCTCTTGTTTGAGTCTGCGATGCAGCTCACGGGCGGTTGCCTTGATAGTCCCCGGTGGGGGACCCATATTATGCATATTTTGATGAGGCCCGGGGCTGGATCATCGCGCAGCCGTAAGGCTTATCCATGACTGTTACCTAAACGAATGCCCACCAATCATAACTTCGCATGGGCCAGCAAAGCGATTTCCTATCGAACCTCGATGTTCGCGATTATGCATGCTTGTCGGACAGTCGTACACGGTTTGTTGTGTGTGAGGCTATCCGTGGTGCCTTTCGTCAACGTAGACTTAGCATGACCTGGTATCAAAGCCGCGTGCTGTCCTCCTCGCGTAAGTGTACCCCCCAAAAAAATGTGATGTAAATGTCCCCAGCTTCACAAAAATGCTGAGGCCCGCGCCTCCCACTTGCCAAGTCTATTCTCTATGGGTACAGGACTTGCTCATCAATGTGTGAGCTTTCACAGAGGCAAGATCTTCAGAACAAGCGGAAGATCCGCAAAAAACCAGGCCTCAACAAGACTTAGCACTCAGCCACCCTGGCTTCAGTGTTGCCTTGCATAGTGACCTTGTGAACATGTTCGTGCCATTATGCTTTCGTCTGGAGATGACATGTTCTCAAAGCTTCTGGGCGTTCCACCAGATGCAGTTCGACTGGAGAACGCCCAACAGCCCCATGAACCATGCGCAAGGTGTGGCAACAAAAGGCCGTGCGAATCATAATCAGTGGGTGCCTCGCCTGCTCTTCGTGCCTGCGTAGGTTCAGTGGGCTGAAGGTTTCGATTGTTCTGACTCATATTATTTGTGCTTGAAAAGACGAATGATGCTGAATTTGATGGTGAGCATTTGGGATGTTACCCCTTGCACTAACAATCCTTAATTGGGATTGCAAATAGGAGTACATAATCCCCATAAGGACCGCTACCATAATGGCAAAAATCCCAGGCATCCTCGTTCCGAGCTGTTTCGTCCCCCTCTGAGCCTCTGAGGTGAAAAGCTGGATTGTCCAGACTAGCTCTTTGGCGGCAGCGTTTAAGTTTAGGGTTTGGGGTTTGAGGTTTAGGGTTTAGGGTTTAGGGAAAAGGGTTCATCGACCGTGCAAAGAGATCCTCCAAGAGAGGCTTCCCTGAAAGTCGCGGAAACAGCGCCCCTCGTAAGAATGTCTGCAGGATGAGGCAGCCTTGTGGGATTTGGGTCTTCAGACTGAAGTTTGCAGCAGTCATCAGGGTCACAAGGCAACTTTCTCCATCGTGTTGCCTTCCACAGGAGGGCTCCCAAGAGCTTGAAACGACGGATGAAACGATGAAACGATGGATACCCTGGCTTCTTGTAGTGGTGGATGAGTGGCTCCAGATTTCCCAAGGCACAAAATACATATTTTTTTTAGTACTCATATGATATTGTTCTATTCTTATATTCCATAAAGTGAGTTGCGGTGCATGAAGAGCCAACCCCTCACTCCTGGGTAGACATTCTTCCCAACCCCACTACAAATCCTTACGCAGCACAACTTCTGCACAAGTGCCTCAAAACAGATGTTCTGCAATTGCCTACGATCAATGTATTTCAGCTTAAAGCGCTCGAGCTTGAGGTCTGGACAAGAAGGCCTTCAGTGAGCCCCCAGGCCTGACCTTCTGCTTGAGGGTTTACGAAGCAGGCTACGGGACTTATTATTGTTATTATTATGACGATTATGACTCTTATTATTTTTATTATTAATTTTCATTTATCTGTATTAATATACATATATATATATATATTTGGGCTTTGGAACATCGGGTTGACAGTTCGGGGGGATGGACTCTTTGCGGAGCGCTGTAGAGGCTGTCAGTTTCTATTGTTGGCTGTCGTGTAGGGTTTAGGGTTTAGGGTTTAGGGCTTAGGGTTTAGGGTTTAGGGTTTAGGGTTTAGGGTTTAGGGTTTAGGGTTCAGGGTTCAGGGTTCAGGGTTTAGGGAGCCAAAATCCCCACATAAATGAAGTGGGCTAGGCTTGAGTTGGGCGCTTTAAGTTAAGCAATGCCCCAGCAGTGCTTAGAAAGACGGAGCTGTGTTCGCGCGATCCTCGTTGCGGGGGCAGTCTCGAGTCATGCCCCCATCATATCCCACTATCATCCTCCTCTCCCTACTCGGAGGTTCATGGTACTTCTTAGCCCATTGTAACTGTACTTATAACCCACTTATAAGCTCCTC